TGAACAATGTTGAGTCGAATTAAAATTTGTGTCAGATTAAAACAACTATGATGCCACTAATACCTACTTACCCTTACTCCAACATACCGTATAAGGTTTTACCCTAATTCTAACGAAACTCTGCAATTTTAATTTGGCATAATTATGTAATATTTTTATTTTAATAAAAGAAGTTTATGCATTTACAAAAAATATATTCATCTTCATTTATTACCTATAGTGGTTTGGCACCTATCATGTTTTTATTATGTTTGATAGATTTTTTTATGTTTTATATATGAAATCTTTAACACAGAATTTTCATATTATGGTTAGTATTTAGGTTAGGATTAAGATTTGGGAAGGGTTTTGGAGAACATAAAATTAAGATTTGGGAAGGGTTTTGGAGGATGTAGAATTAAGATTTGGGAAGGTTTTAGAGAATGTAGAATTAAAATTTGGGAAGAGTTTTGGAGGACGTAGAATATTTATATTTAGAACACCTCGTATCGATTAATTAGCTAGTTTTTGAGATAGTGTATTCATAGGTGTAAAACACCATAGATACGTTTTAATAAATTTTATTTATTTAAAATAAAATCTAAAGAATTGTTTAAATCTTTAATAAATTTTGATTTTTTTTCTAAGCTCCCTTCATCCTCTATTTTTCAGTATGCATTTCGGATTCTTTCTATTAATTCACTAACAATTGAATGTCTATTTCAGTAGCTTTTTCAGCCTCAGTCTTTCTAGACAATTCTATTTCGCTAAATCACGATGCACATATATTTCAAAACCATTTTCTACAAACATATTTTGAAATTGCTCTCACACATTTAAAGTTAATAGTTTTTTATCACTATACACATGTTCATGAAATATATGTCAGCAAGGAAGTAAGTACTGACGAAAGAACAGGCAAGAACAGTTAGGTAAAGTTAAACCAGGTGATTCTTTACCTCTTTCTACCCTTTTTTTAATAGCACAAACTTCAGTGACAATTAACTGTTGGATTGGAAATGGAAACTTATGAATTTGACCAAGAATTTCATCGTCAACTCCAACAACTGAAATTTGCTTAATTCTGAATTCAAAGCCACATGTTCTGAGTTGGTGCATTTTTTTATATCTAAGGCGACAATTTTATAACATGCGTCTAATATAAATAGAATGAATAACACTTAAAATCATTTTTTTATTTATTTTTGCATCAATGATATTTAATAAACACAATAAATTTAATCTTACAACATATTTTTTTACAAAAAATATTTTTGCTTAAAAAAAAAAAAGAAAATATCTTTTTTTTTAAAAAAAAAAAAAAAAGAAACCCTTTTTTTTAAAAAAAAAAAAAAATTCTAAATAATTTTTTTTTTTAAAAACAAAAAAAAAATTTAAATAACCTTTTTTAAAAAAAATAAAATAAAATAAATAAAAATAAAAAATCGGGCCAGGTTTGACTAAAATGATTTTTATACTATACCTATTATACCATAACTCAACGATGTTATTGCCTTTAACTCGCTATGGTATGATTCCAGGGCATTCGTCGAAGTTACTTGCAATAAAGCGGTGAATGCTGTCGAGCCCATAAAGCCCATTGATTTGAATTATTTTGGTAATTTCTTTTAATATAATTTTTTATACTGATAACTTAACACAACTCAATTGCCTTTTTGATAAGCATATTACACCCAATTTTTGTAGTTTTATGCATTGCTTGAATCATTTTTTCTTGGGCCTTTGCTTCATATATTTTACTCATCCATACTCACATTATATGGACCATGCAGAAAATTACTGCACATTCTTGTTCACCACCTTGGAGACCAGAAAATGCTTTCATAACGCTATTAGCCTCAACATGGCTTTGGTGGCAAGGATATATCGCAGTTTCCAATAGCTTCCAATTTTTTTTACAATTTTCAAGGCATCTGAAACTGTGTTACTATCTTCTTTATCAACAAAAAAATGAGCACTAATGTCCCAACAGCCATACAAATCTCAAACGTATAAGGTAAACAAGTGGCAATTATACTTGTTGGTTTTATGCGTTGAATTAATAAGGGTTAACCACCCATATTGTTCAAGCTTAACAAGTTGAAGAGGATGTATAAAGACCAGGCCATAAGTAGACTGACTAGAGGTTACATAATGTTCAACATAATAGCCCTGGTTTTTTAAAAAAAAGAATACTTTCTTCTATATCAGATTTTTTATTTTTATTACTATCTAAATAGTTATTTTGAACCTCACAAACTTTGTATTTAATGTTTGTAACTTCAGCATGTTTTAGCTTCTTAACACTTGAGCCCAGGTCCAATATCCTAGTCGCATAGTCTTTAACCGCACTCATAATGGCAGGTGGTGGGTAGTTTTTGGTCACTTCTTCCTCAACTAATTTCCACACTGCTTCTGAATGCTTTAGCCTTTCACTTTCATCAAGCGTGTATACACGATCAGGACTTCCATTATATCGTTCTATTTGCACTTTTTGTACACTAACAAAATATAGCACCCAGATTTTTGCGAAGCAGAGATTGGGGGGACAGACCTTTGTTTTTTGACATTTTTTGGCAGGAATTCCTTACTTTCGACTACTTGAATGATTATGCTTTATTAATCAGCATGCAAATACTTTCCAAGAATTACCATTGGTGTGGTTTTTATAACTGAACCTTGTCCACACATTTGTAACAAGTGGCCACCATTCACTATTGAATTTATTCATTGATACTTCAAATGGTTCACCAACATTAAAGAGAAGCACTCGCCTTTGATCAGGAGTTGTAGATTGTGAAGTATAAACTTTGATCCTTTTATGTGCTGTGGGTGCTTTATCTGCTACGGATATTGCTTGTACCTCCTCATTTTCTTCTTCACTATCATCCAACACAATCATATCATTTTTTTACAACATAGTCTTTTCGTTTCCCACCAAAACTTCACCTTCGTCAACTTCAATTTCCTCAAACACATTGTCTTCACTTTTAACAAAGTTACCAGCCATATTAAAAAAAAGAAAAAAAAAAAAAAACTATATTATATAAAAAAAAAAGAAGCTGCGAAAAAATAATTTGCTTGCAATTCACTAAAGAACTACAATACAACGAATGTGCTCTGCTCACTAAACAATAATATAGCAGTAGTATTTTTGAAAGTGCTTTTAACAATATATTATAATTCAGTAATAATACATAGTAAAAAAAGTCTTAATAACTTTTTATTGTTTGTATATAACTGATACAACCGCAAAGAAAGAGAATTTGGAAGTAAAAAAAAAAGGAGAGATTCTTTAAAAAAAAAAAAGAGAGAAGAGATTCCTTTAAAAAAAAAAAAAAAAAAGAGATTTCTTTAAAAAAAAAAAAAGATTCCTTTAAAAAAAAAATTGTAGATTCTACTAAATACAGCATAGCGGGCTTTCTCTGTGATTGGTTAATATTTTGTAGATCATT